ATGATTTAGGAGTCATGTTGATCTTATGCAGGACACCATCACCCACCTCCCTTCCCCACGTTCTTATCCTTGCCATTAATGTCATTGCTGGGGTCTAAGGCATCAGCCAGGTTAAAGTCATCACTGGCTGCAGGGGTAAAAAGATCAAACGTCTGTGTTAGAGCAAAAAAAAGGAAGCAGAGATCAAATAAACAATACTGTTAAAAGAAAGAAAAAACAACTAATTACACTCTAATTAAACCAAGTGACTACACTTCCCTTATGCTTTGGTTACTGTGTGTCGTTGGCCTGTTTACTGCACTGGCCTGTGGATGCTTGTGTCTTTATGTTGTATAAAGCGATCTGAATGCTCAAGTACAGCAGTATAAGAACCAGCCCATTCACCATCACGGTGCATCAACAGCTGAGCACGAGTACGATGTTGAACAGGAAAGTGCTGCAGCATTACCTGTTGCAGCAGGTAAAAGGCAATTATGGAGATATTCTATATGTGAATGCTTCATGCTGTGTATCGTGCTTCTCTGAGGTTCATCACTCACTGCAAACCTCACACTCACCACTGTGAGTTATACAGGTAGGATGGGCTGCTTTGGCCAGTCGCAGGAACTCTCATTTATACAGTTTTAAGGCAATAGTTGGATTCCTGCATATGCTGCCTGGTTGCAGTGAAACATGCTGGTCATTATTCTCTTGGTCTGCATGGTTACTTGTTGCTTTCTGTTCCACTTGCCCAAAATGAACCTTTCCAAAAGAGCTTTCGTCCATTTAGCCCCGTCGGCTTGGAACGAACTGCAGAACGACTGGAAAACGACTTCATTTCATTAAGTGCTTTGAAATCTAAACTATGAATCCTAAAAGGCCAAGTCCATAACATGCAGCTGTGTCAATTCAGTGATTGTCATTTTAACTGAACTTTGAAATTTATATTTGCATTTTATTGAATTTTATCTTTATTTTATTTTAATTTTATTCTTGCATGTGTGTTGTTGCTGCCTGTGTTTGAGGAATTTCTTTAACTGTGAGACACTTTCTGCTTCTTGGTCAGGTCTCTTTTGAAAAAGAGGTTTTTAATCTCAATCGGATCTTCCTGGTTAAATAAAGGTTAAATAAAATAAATAATAAGTGAAATGTTCAGCATTAAACTGAGAGCTTCTCTTAGACAGGCAGCCTGGATTCTTTGCCAGCTGCCTCGGGGGGAGCTGTTGTAACCCCGGACAGGTCACCAGTGTCGCAGAGCTGATGCAGAGAGACAGGAGTCATTTTTGTGAATCTGGTGGAGACAGCCAGTGTCAAAAGGCTCTGATGTTTTTAAAAGACACTGACTGCCAAGATAAATTATTTCCATTACCATATCACCTCTTCAAAACCAATATTGTTCACCATTTCCATATCACAGTTTCCAAACCTCAGTCCCGGTACACCTAACATTTCCCTTGATTAATTTAAAAGCCTCTAAGCCCAGGTCCAACCTTGCTGGTCAATCAACCCGCTTCGGGATTGCCCTCACCGATAGTGGTCAAATTTCTAGGCCCTATGTTAATTTAAAAGTGGTCCCCGTGAGTTGACCAGAAACCCCACTCGTGGGCGCTTTCGAATCCCGTCTGAGCCATTAAGCTTTACCTGTCAATCACGTTCAAACAGGACCACCCAGGTCCAACCCTGTCGGTCAAACGGTGCAAGAAAAGTGGTACTTGACCACTGACTATTAACGACTGTCCCTATCTGTCACGGGTATCACCCGGATGAGCCTGTCGTCGCAGGAAATTGCAGCGCGTCCGCCGCAAGATGGAGCCATCACACTCAGAACATTTTGCACCCCTAGAAGTCCAACGTCCGTCCTAAAATTTATTTAAATACGTTTAAAAGCACCACTGTGGGGATTCCACAGCTGAATTATCTGGTGCCCGAGTCCAACTCTGCTAATCAATACAGGAATATATCCCTTAACCAAATATCCTAACCTCATATCTCTTTTCTTGGCTGACGTAACACACACATAACACACCAACTTCAAACATTCGTCACAACAATTAAAAATCCACCCCAGTATTAACAACGATGAGCTTTCATCAAATATCCCCAAACTTTACTGTACAAAAGGCCCCGTAGTTATGGTTTTATTCTGTTCAGTTGTTAGTTCCCCTGTAGTTTTTAGAGTGGCCAGTAGAGGTCACCCCACCGCTTTGTATGAGAGACTATGTCCAGGGAGAGACGTGGGCAAAGCACCTGAGCTTTTCTGCTCCAGATTACTGGCAGAGAATTGGTTATCCCGTGAGAAGTGTGCGTTAATGAGCAACGTAAGTTGGTGATGTGTGAGGATGTGATAATAAGATGTGTTTGGGACTGTAACCAAGGTTAGGGGGGAAATGACTATGTTTCTGTCTGTGCCGCTAGCGGGTGCTAAGCTAAGCTAAGCTAAGCTAACTTTCCTGCCATGTGGTTGGGTATAGCTGTGTACCTGGTTAGCTCTCTCAGGGGGTCTATGTGTGAGTCGTGGGTAATATATGGCCTATGGTATTAAAGGGGATGTTAGTTTATTTCCCGCCTGTGTTTATGTTGATGTACTCTGGAGATATTGTTGTGAACACTTTAGTAATGTAGTATTTTCTTTCTGTTCCGTTCAGAGACCACACACACACACATCCATGCCCACGCACCTAAACCTGTATGCAATACCTGCTCCTCTGACAACCTCTGTTACCTTCAACTGTGTGAAGTCAATACAAGAGTCTGCACTATCCTTGGTGTCTTCATTGTCTCCCTTCTGAACATTCATCCGGGCCTTGAGCAGTGTTCTGGCCGACACTCCGGGGAGTGGTAGCTGCAAACCTGAACTAGCACCTTACAGTCCTTCCAGTACAAGCTATCTATCCAACATTTACTTTTATTTATCCCAAATTACCCAAAATTATCATGGACATGTCACCTGAAATCTACTTAACAGATTTTATAATTTAGTTTAATTTCCACTAGTGAGCCACTTTAATGGTAACAATCATCAATTCAGTGGACAACTAATTCAGAATTCATCCAATGTGCACAATTTTCAACAGGCTTGCGCTTACACCTATACTCTTTTAGACCGGTCTGTTGTCCACCTCATATCAGATCGTACCTTAAGGTCCCCTCAGCCACACAAGAATCCGGGTCACGGCACCAAGTGTTAGAAACTGTTCTTTTGATTCTTAGGGCCAAAAAGATACGGCTCAAAAGTGGTCTTTTTATTAAAAAAAAAAAAAAAAGATCTTTATTTACATATCCCGGGATATGGAGACTGAGCACACATTTATTAATATGCCTGTGCACTAAAACTTCCTGTGCAGCTTGCAATAACTTCCTCTTTCTAAGGTCTGTTGCCAGGGCAACCTGTCTAGACTTAGTCTCACTCTGTCGGTTCCTCATATTCTACAAAAAACATGCAGTTTCTGCTCAGCCTGTAAGCTAGTTTTACACTGAAGTCTGGGCCTCTCTTATATAAACCAATAGTAATCAGCATATAAGCATTTAAGATTAGATATTTATTACCTAACAAATGTAAAGCACAGTGAGGGGAGCCTGAGAGCTACATAAACTGCATTGAGCTGAATTCACTCGGCCATCAGAGACTGTTGTGTTTTCTAGAATTAATATTTTTATTTCCTAAATGTTGCTCCTGGCACCCTCCCCATTATAATAACTACAGCAGCAATGAACTAATAGAAACTAAAAACTAAATGAACGTACTAACTGGTTCTCTGGTAAATAAATCAGTCTGCATGTTACAACCAGCTACTACCAAGAGGAAACTGACGGTCAGTACACAGACTCCACCAGGCGTTCCTAACTAAGGAAACCAGGTTTCATGGTCAGTCTAGGAATGTTTTCCAAGAAGTAACAGGTTCAGCTGCTGGATACGTGTGCCGAGACAATCTAGATAAAAATATTCTTCTTTTACCTCCTAATATGTTCTTCAAATTCAAAATAAGTCAATATTTGAGCGTGAGAAAATTCTCATGTTTTCTCTACACCAAAACCTCGACGTGCCGAATGGTTTAAAAGCTCTGATTAATCGGAAGTGGGCGTGGCTGCTGTTCACTGATTTATTCAGAGATGTAAAAATTGAACTCTTGAGATTTCAGGTAACAAAGCCCGTTCGCTCTGCAGCTAACCCACAGGCCTCAGGCGGGGAGTTGGGCTGCTTTCTTTCACCTGGCTTGGGTTTGGGCTTCGCTGGGGCCTTGGTGGCTGCAGGGACCCTGGGGAAAACCTTGGGTGGGACTTTGGTGGTGGTGGTGGTGACATCGTTAAAGAAATCCTCCAGTTTAAAGTCTGAAGAGAAAAAAACAACAACACACAGTTACAATCAGATTTGTTGTAGCGCACAGATTTTCTTGTCCCACATTTATTCAGACCTAAAATGACTCGGTGCAAAGATGCTGTAAAGTTCTCACCTCCGCCTGCTCCTCCTGATGGTGCTGTTTGCTTTTTTGTAGGTGCTGGTGTCACTGTTATACAAGTCAGAATAACATGTAATGGTCAATATGTTTACTGCCATCACTCATGAGATGATAGCAGATAATCACAGTTTATTTATTCAGTCACACTAGATACCTTTCTGACTGGCTGCGTGTTTCAAATCATGAACAAATAAGTAAAATCTTACAGTTTTCATTTGTGAAAAATGCAAACATCTCTAAGTGATGGAGCTGAAATAGTCTGAAGCTGGGTTTCATCCAGCAGTACAGGACTGACACTGACTCTGCCCAATATGGAGCCAGTCCAGGTTACTGTGCTGTAGGTGTTTGGGACCAGTTCCTTTAGGGGATCAGGACTGTTCAGGCCTCACGGAGCCATTACCAGCAGGTTCACTGGTGCTGCTGGGTGCTCACAGAGTGTCTGGCATCCAAAATGGTGAAACAAGCTCCATATAGAGGAAAACAAAGGCACTGAATACACTCTGCTGCTGGACAGACACAGCTTTGCAGACCACATCTCCACAGTCTCAA